GGCTTTCCTCGCAGACTTGCCAGGCTTGCAGCTTTCAAGACAGACTTACCAACAATGTCACAAAGCCTGTTTTATGCTGCGTGCACCAGGGTGCGATTTTCAAATGCTGACTCTCACAAGGACATACACTCCTCTGTGGGATGGACTGCCCACTATTCAGCCTGTCTCCTATGGCAAGGGACTTAGCTGATGCTTTAAGTAGGACAGATCAGTTCAGGAGAGCACTTAAAGATCCAGGCTACTGTTCAAGGCAGAAAGAGCTGCAGTGTTTAAGTTTAGGTATGTTTGAAAATCCTGCCATAGAGGCCTAAACTGTCCTGACTTGGAAGGCAGCACCAATCTTATGTGTTCAAACTGGGCTTCTGCTACATAACTTCCAATTTATTATCTGTATACAGTCCCTGAGATGGTATTAAGTTACTTCTTCACAGGTAATACAAAGGTGGTTAAATGGTCCAGGAGCCTGATGAGTGGGCTATTGTAAGTCCATCCAGCTGGACAGAGCCCTATACCAAGGCATTTATCATCCATGTGGACAGGACAGGCAGTGGGTGGATGAAAGGAAGCATCATTGCTTCTATTTGATAGTAGGGAACTGAGATCACACAAACTCATTGATTAGTCCAGGCAGGGGGTATGCAGCAGAGCTGGAATTTGGCCCAGAGCTCTGCAATCCCGGTCAAAAGCCTTAATCACACAACCACCCCTCCTGTGTCCCTCTGCAAGCACTGTGCATTTCCTTCTTTTCCACAGCACAAGCCGCAGTCTCTTGCTGAAGTTGGAGTTGCTAGAACTAATGGCATGTCGCTGAGAACTGTAAAAAGAAGAGATTAACCCACCTTCCCTTAAAGTAAAATTACAGGTGCCTTCTAGGCATAAACCAAACTTCAGCTCTTTTCTACAACACGCAGCTTCACTTCACTAATTCTTAAAATTACTTTGGAAGCTTTTACATGTGGATCCTTACTCCCAGTGCCAGCAGGTGGGAGATGAAGCATCCATAAATCCTGATCATTCTGAAGATTTTTGTATATCCTCTAGACTCTGGGCTGAATCTCTTTTTTTCCCCCCCTGAGCTAATGCTTCAGTAGCTGCACCTTGGCTTTCAAATGTATTAACTGAGTTGCCAATCATCATTATTATTTTTTTCTTACCAATCTCCCAGCTTTACTTCAGCAATCCTCTTGTCCCTTTCAAACTCCAAAATCCACATTGCAGAAAAATCACTGTTTAAAGGCTAAATTTTGGAAAGAAAACATCATTCTAAAGGAATAGCTGATCCCACAGGTGAGATTCACTCAGTCTCAGGCCAGCCTTTTGCCAGCTTTCCCTATAATGCAAATGACCTTTAGTCTGTGAAACCAGAAGGAATTCCTATATACTAGGCATGCATCCTAGTTCAGCTCACTTATTGGTTTCTCTGGGGTGATCTTCAGGGGATCCTTGCAGCAATTTGTGACGCTCTCCAACAGAACAAGCAGGTAGCAATGCCTTCCTTTTCCTTGAAGATTCAGTTTGCACACGATAGAGCAGGGTACTAACCAAGCCTGGGGAGAATGAACTGTGAAACACCTGAAAGAGCAGGTCTTAATTCAGGAGCCAATGCCCCAGCCCTGCAACATGGACTAGAGGATGGAGGACAGGTTCAGGAGGCTGAAGGTCTCAATTCTCATTCCAGCTCTGCCACTGAGTCACTGATATCAGTAAATTGAGCTCATAAACAAATAGGAGAAGAGCAACTGGCAGATGAAAGAAGATTTGAGTCTAGAACGGAATGAAGCACTTTGCAACAAGTCCCACTGGAGTTATGTTCTACATTGCCACCAGTAGGAAGCCCAAATCTTCCCAAATAAATGGCTATTGGTAGATTTCTAATATGCATCATGACTTGATCTCTTCTTGCATGACAATGTCTTGCACGACTTAAAGAAAAAATGCAAATCATTCTTAGAAACAGCTTTTTCTTCATCTACCCCAAATCCCCAAAACTTAACTGTGTACAAAGGCCTCAGATCACTGTAAGGCTTCTCTGAAACCTGAAGACCAGCAATTCTGGATAAGCATTCAAGACTGAAGTCCTTTTGCACAGCCTCAGGACTTAAATGCGTTGAACTGTGTTTTCAAATATTTGGGCTGGAATCCACCCTCTTTTTTTTTTCAGGGTGATGAATATGCTTCTTTTCAGACATGCTAGAAAAGAGTTTTCATTCTAACCAGTCTAGCTGTGAGGAAATGCGACATGCTCAGCACCACACTACCTAGACACTCACAGAAGTGGGGTTATTTCTGAATGAAAAAGGCTTGACTAACAGAAAATCACACTGGAAGACTCCTGAAACTACACTTTACAAAGACAGAATGAGGTCTTAGGACCAATTCTAAATTGTTGAATTAATTAAGTCTTTTTGTACTAGGGGTGATTTAACTAGGTGAACTACTGAAGAAAGACCTGACACAGGTGTTGGAGCCTGGGACAATCTCTGTCACCTTTTGTAGCTTCGGGGATGGTAACTTCCCAGGAGTCTTGTTCCTACTGTCAAATAAGGCAGGCTGAAAAATAATGTCCCCAAGAAAATCGTTGGGATGGCACGACAAGCAGTCCAGAACTCTGGAACTATCCAAATCAATTAATCACATCTCACTGCTTCAGCCACTTTTGGATTTAGACGTTTAAGCCTTTATGTATGCACGCTGTCCTTGAATTGAAGAGGCACAATATCTTCTTTGTGTTATTCAAGCTTTGCCCTTCCCATGGTTAAGCATTTAGACAAACATTTTAAGAAAAAAGGTTAAAAATACAGAAAGTGCCAATGTTTTCTTACTTTTCAGAATAGCCTCTTTGTGATAAAAGATTCTTTAAAAGAAATTCTTTGTAGAACAGAGGTTATTGTGAATACAAATAGCCACTCCAGTGAGATAAAGAGGTGTTCTGCAATGACATACTCAAAAAGAAAGAAAAAGAAAAAAAGAAAAAGAGAAGGCAGCTTACACAAATAGTAATTTGTAAAAAATGCTAAAAGAAGGAAGAATCACTTCTCTGTGTATAAAAATGAAAAAAAGAAAATGTCCTTCTCTCACTTTCTTTTCATTTACCAATGTTTTATATCCAATAATTTTTTTGGCTTAAGTCCAAGTTCCTTCTATTGTCAATGATAGAAGAATCAAATCCACTTGCTTTAGCTGGGAGTGTAACGTTGGAAGAAGAAAACTATAAAATTAATTTTAGAACTGGACGACTCTAGGCATGCATCAGGCTGGATCAGCTCCACTGAGATCAAGAGGATGAGGGATGGTATAATGGACATGATGGACAAGTACTCAAGTGGATTCATATTGCTAAATTTTGATTTAGTACGCAACACAACATTGGGCTAGTTAGTGTTATCACTGAGGGTGCTCAAGTGCCTACATTATAACAAAACAAATAAATGAAAGTTGGTTGGGATGGAATGCTGTTGAAATCTCTGATATCAAAACATTTTATAGAAATTTTCCTTTTCATGGAAGAAAACCAAAGACACCTTTCCATTTGTGATGTTACTAAACAGAGGAAAAAGAATGACCAGCATAGCTCTACCCTAAGCATGCATATATTAAACCTAGCTGAACTGACAAGCATGACAGTTCAAAACACCATTACTCCTTTCCTGCAGTGCAGGCTGTGGGTATTTCTGCCCCTACCTTCCCGTTGTTAATTCTAATGACTTCCGTCCATAAAAGTAGGCACAGCCAAGGTAAAATGATTAGACATTCATAAAAATCTGTTAGCAGTGCTTTGTCTGCAGAGACCCACTGTCTCCACGCCCAACATTTGCTAATAGTGTCTAGAAAATTCAAACCCACACAATTAGCCAAGCAAAAATTAAGACTGCCCTTTACAGATTTTATTGTTTCATTTTTCTTCCAGGAAAAACATTAAATCTTCCCTCAAGAGGGAGGCTATAGTAAAAATTTCTTTGCTAGAATGACACTCCTTTCTTCGGTCTTTACTTCTAGAGTCATTCAACCTCACATAGCATCTCAGCAGGAGCTGAAGAGCTCATCTCAATGTAAGCTTCAAACCACACTTTTGTGCTGGTATACAAGGACTTGAAACTATTGAATGGATGAAATTCTCTCCTTTCTTAATGTGGTGCCTGTATGTAAAGGACTAGATCAAAATTATTCTCATCATCAGGCTCAGTTTCTTTCCATATTACCCCCTCCGTCTTTACCTTCTTTAAAGCTCACTGCTGTCTGGCAGTTCCCAGCCATGTTTTGGCTTCAGCTTCTGCAAATTTTCTTTCTGAAGATGAGTGTCTAAACAAGCAAACCCTTATTAGCTACTCACAACCTTATTAGCCCATGTCAAGAAACCAAGCAAAGCATCCATCCATATCATGTTACCAGTCAATAACTCAGGCAGCTTCTGAGCCACCTCTTGGGGCCCACCCTGGATAGCAGAGTATTTGTAAAAGGCTGAAAAAGTTGTTTCTCTTTACTCATCTTACATGAATCCCTTTTCTTTCTTTCTTTCATGATAGCCATCTAACGGGTGTCAAATTAATGCACTATGCAGTACTATACTGTGAAATATGTACCTTTAAAAGTTATTTCCCTAAACCACACAGTTAAAATGGTAAGCATTTTTGTTAGAAAGCTTACACATTATTATGCATTTGTTGAAAAGAAAGGCAAGGCTTAGAGAATACTGACCAAAACATAACTTTAGCTGGTCTCATAATAAGAAGTTGTTACCACCATGGGATGAAATACTGTCATGCAAGTCTGCAGAGAGCGCACTAAAGAAACATGCTTCCAGCCAAGGGCTGAACTGGAGAATTTTCATCATTATAGATCATAGCAGGTGACAGACACCTTCTAGAGACAGCTTGTACCATTCAAATAACTAATTTATAAAGGTTTAAAATAAGATACTGTCTCATATAATCAGCTATTAATATGTCACTTCTCATATGTAAGCTTTTGTTTGCTTTTAAAAAAACAACAGTTTTACATACTTGAGGGATTTGGCTTTACCTGAATCATCTACTCTCAGCTTTTTACTGGGATTGTCACCACTGTCATCATCGGACATTTCCATCTCCTCTTCCCGGCGGATTCCCATGAGCTGTTCACTGTGAGCATTTCGGAGCTCCTAAAACCCAAAACAACCTTTTGTCAGTATTAACTTCCATAAAGTCATTATGTATTATTTAGTATCTGGTTTTAATACTGCTCTGATTTTAATTATACATCATTTATCATTGTAATCATGTTTATTTGTATATGAATATTTATAACAACAGGAGCACAGGGAATTCTTCCTGTGAAAGAATTGAGTTTATCAAAGGCAACACTCAGGGAAAACAAGAGAGTAAGTGAGTTTCCACGTCACGTGATCTCTAGTTCTGCTAAACATAGGAGAATGTTTTAACAGCAGGGATAATGCTTAAAATTGTGTATAAAGCAGACTGAGAACAAGATTGTCAGCCTGCTTAAGGTATACATAATCCTTGTTTCTCTCTGCCACTTGGGGTAGGATTCATTCTGTCAAGTGTAGGTGTCTCCAGTAAAATTAATTCCTATTCAGGCACCTTTCACAGAAATGAAAAGAAACAGGTGTTTTAAGGTGATTCACATCCACAAAGTAACTAACCAAACAAAGTCACATTAACTACACCCTAAAAGTGCCTATTTGTGCCCGCTGATGGTCAAGGGAGCCGAGACCAGCCAGTTCAGACGGAGAGCTCTACATCGTAGGTGCCTAATGCTGGCCAAAGGACCCTCACCCTCTGTCCCTATGCCCAGATCACCTCGGATTTAAAAGACCATAACGCTATCCTGAAAATCTCTGTGTCTGGATCCAAAACGAGCACCAGCGCGGACAAGCTGGTGTCTGGGTGACCGCGGCAAGGGCAGGCAGGTGGGCAGAGACTCCCGCGCGTCTCGCTAGGAAAGTGACCGGCAGGCACGCCGGCTTTGCGGGAGTCCAGACGGTCTTTGTTCTGGGCAGAAAAGCTGGCGCGGGCGTAGCGGCTGGCTTTTTAATGGCAGTGCTGAGAAGATTGAGAGGACTCTATTTTGTCCTAATAATCCTGTCAGGTGTAACACGGGGATGCTGCACCGTGATTAGTGTCGGCCTTTTCAGTCCGCAGACAGCTAATTTTTCTGCCGACAAAGAGCTTAATTCCCAAAGAGGTGGTTTGAAATCTTTGAAACAAGGAAGAGTCGCGTGGAAGGAGGAGACGGCATTGAGGAGTCCGACCACAGCTCTGTGCTGTTAACAATGAGCTGTTGGAGAGGGACTGGGTGAAAAGCAGGAAGGCATTTCCCTCGAGCTGTACCCTTCGCTCATCGGCAGATCTCAAATATTCTGATAAATGCATATGAGTCCATTAATCCCAGCAAAGGCAGAGAGGCTAATTAGTGGGCGTTTTACATGAGGATAATGTCAAATTAAAAAAAAAAAAAGTGATTAAAAAGGTAAATTGTCAACCTATGTCTCATGCAATCAGATGTACCTCTGGAAGAAATTAGCAAGCCGTTTCTTAATTCCTTATTGGAAAAGGCCACCTGCACTTTCTCCTGGGGAAGTATACTTCATATATGAGCAGACATCCGCTTACATTTACTCCCTCTTTAGGGCATAAATGTCCTTGATGCATCAATGTCTACATTATTAGCAAAGCCAATAATCTTCCATGGAGAATGTCTATGTGTATGAGTGTTTGCTTTGGGCTTGGGTTTCTAGCAAAGCTTTCCTAAATTCAGAAAAAAAGCGAAGGTGGTCAAGTAATTAAACAAATTAGCAGATGATGTCATGGTTAGAAAATATGATTAAAATCAAAGATACCATTGGGTACATTTCCATCATATTTCACATCTGAAAAACAGGTATTTCTAAAATATATTGGTTTAGCGAGAGCCTTTACATGTTTTTGGACTGTTTTTGTTGTCTTCTTAGAAAAACAAAAGGCAATAATATTTCAAAAAATGAGTAGTGAATTCACATTTTCGGAAAGCCCATCTCTTACACATTTCAGTTTATTAAAGACTTAGAAGCCAGCAAATGAATGACACACTACATCCCTTTACAGAAAGTTAGTTTAAGAAGGGATGGTCTTAATATAATTGAAATAATCTACTAGCAAATCATATTTTCATACTCCTCTAAAAGACAAGACAAACATCAAACCCCAATTTCCCAACTTTCAATTGAACAAAGGCTTTATCCACTACTTATAGGAAATATTTGTGAACAAAATGCAAAATACAGTTTGCACCAATAAATTATGCTAACATTTTATTTTAAGTGTCCCATTATTGTGAAGTCATTTGGTATTCACCATAATAGCACTGATAATAAAGAATTCATTTGGTATTCATGTGGATGTTACATTTAGTGCCATTGGTATTCAACTGTAATTTAGCATTAGTTAATGGGCACTTAAAATGTTATCCAAATGATTTATATCACAGCACTTTAGGGTTTCTCAAACTAAGTGTACAACACTTATTTTACAAGTGTACTACAAAATAATTAAATAAGTGCACCTTACCTTCTAAAGTTTTTATTCTGAGACAGAGAAAAATCGTTTAGAGGACTGCGATAGTAACAATAAACATACTGTATTACATGAAGGTAAACCAAGTGTATGTAAGTTGCTCATATTAAAAAAAAAAGGAAGAAAGGAAGAAAACAAAGACAGCGGTACTTACTTTTTTAAAATACAGGTTCATAGCGTATATACTGAATTAAAAACGAAAGCTGGATGACCAAAACACAGGATGAGGTCTAGCACTTCCTTTGCTGCCACTTGCAGCAAGGGGAGTTACAATCCCATTTTCCTCCGCTCGTGCTTATGACAGTCAGTCACACAAGCACGGTCCCACATTGCTAACTTTTTGTGGTAGTATGATTACATTTATACTGGCTTCTTTGCAAGCATAATAGAATCAATACAAGTGATGTATCTACTTTTTTTAAAGATAAACATAAAGCAAATAGGAAGGAGTATGTCATAATTCTGGACTTAATATGGTTAAGTCATTACTTCGGAAAGAAATTGGCTATTTTATTTTCAGACAAAGTCATCTTATAATGACCATATGATGGCACAATGAGAAAAAAATCTGTGCTACAGAATACTTCTTTTAAAAACAGATCACGATGACTCCTAAAAGATATTTTTCAGAAATAACTCTTCATTCTATCCTTAGTTGAAAATATTGTTCCTAATTTCACTACTTCAGTTCATTATTATAGATAGTAAACATAATCCTCCAATGATTTCCCAAATTTTGCATGAAAAATAAAAACACATTGCTCTCTGTCTTAGTGTTATTTAATGACCATTATCATAATGAGAGCAATGGGAGCCATTCATACTGTAGATGAGACTGTATAATGGCCAGTTGATTAACAGCTAAAACGGTAGCTGTAAATATTGCTGAATATACTATGTCCAGCTACAATCACACTCGTTCTGTTCAATCCAGCTGTGAGATGATGGATAGAAAGTAATAACAAAATCACCAACCTCAGAATGCTTTCGCCAAATGTCTATGTTCTTTCGCTGGGCTTTCGAGAAATGGTCCCAAGCTTTTTGTCTGGTAGAAGCGTTGAAAACGGCGACAATCTGCTCAACTTTGGTGAACAAGGAAGTCAAACAAGACAAGCAATTTATGTTGTGATCACTATAGAGAAGCAAAGCAAAGACACTAGGAGTCTATGGATGATGTCATTACTGAAACAACATCATCAATATCCATCCAATGACGTGTCTTTTGTACTTACATTTTATCAATGTTGGAGATGTCTCCCTTCAAGTCTGTCTCCATAACTTTAAGTCTACACAACTTAGAACCGTGTACCGAAAAACCACGCATGCAGCTGCCTCCCCGTGATGCCTGCTGCAACTCTCTGCGCAGCCACGTGCCTTTGCATGTGTGGCGATAGGGGTGTGACTACAGAGATGACACTTGAGGCATAAACCTGACATGTTCCCCTGCGGCAGCGGTGTACAGACGAGCCGGCTGGACAAGCGAAAGCGTGAAAGGCAAGCAGGCTCTGCCTTGGAGGGTGACTATCTGATAGCGGGAATTTGCCAGCAGACGGGAAGGGCTAAACCATACATTAATGCTGCATTCTGTAGCTGCAGCTGCTGCTTCTCTTTTATGTGATATAAAGTGGCTCGCCTGTGGTAGATCATTCTGTCCTGTGTCCATGGCCTATGTATGTTTATGGACGTGAACAGTCGCATTTTTGTGCGTAAAAGATGAAGAAGAGATGTGAAATGGGCTTCCCTCTTTCAACTCTAATGAACTTGTTCTGAAGCCAGACATCAATATTTAGGTCAATTATCTAGGACAATTAAGATCTTTAAGTTTTTAGCTAGTTGTTCATCCTAAATCAGAAACTTTTCTCCCAACACTCTTTTCTTTCGCTTTGCACCAGTTACAAGCAATGTTGTTTTTCCATAACAGTGACCTGCCTAGAAATGATTTGACCAAGATGTAAATTGTTTTAATCCCAGCACAGTTAACTGCAAGACCACCAAGAAATCCAGATTTTCTACAAATGACCTGGGCTGTGCTCCGGAGTGAGCAGCTGTGCTGACCTATGAACTCAAACCAAAAAATGCTTCAACTCTTTGACAAAGTTCTTGGCTATTTATGTCTTTAGATTCCTGGGCTGAAATGACGCCCATGGTTTTGTAAAGCTGCAGCTTGCAGCACCTCCTTCCCACCTCTTTCACTGAGAAATGGTGGCAGGAGTGCTATAATGCCCTCTGATCTGGTCTCTCATCAAGTTGATCGGCGGCTGCTCTACTTCTCCACTCAAGTCACAGATGTGGAGAACCTTATTATATAGAAAAACTGATCTTTCCTAAAATGGTGAGCTCACCTAGTAAGTCAGTTATGTCTCTTTCACCCCTAGATCTGAGAATTAACCTCACTCGTTTGAATAGGAGCACGTTTCTTTTATTCTCTTTTTTTTACCACTATTGCAAGCTTCTTTCAGATTCAGGAAGAGTACAACATTTTGAATCACAGATGAAAGTTTTTCTTCGCAATCATCAGGGCTGGTTAATTAACTTCTAAAGTAATAGAAAATAAATGTAGTAGTTTGAAATTAATACTTATATGTAGTTTATACGAAAGAAGGTGCCTCAGAACTTCTGAGATGATCCAATTCATTTGTGATCCATTCAAATTTTAATAGCAGATGTGATAATTTCCACCTATTAGAACTTGCTTGGAGTGAAGGGTGGATATATCAAGGAAGTTATGCTGTGTATATTTATCCAATTAATTTGCAAATAATGAAAATGCTAAAGCACTCTATTATTATGTGTATAAAAACTGAGGCCAGAATTAGTTACTATCGTTCTGTTGATGACCCAGTTGCTCAGAAAATCTTGCTTAATTAACAATCTGGTTTTAGTTTGCAAGTGGAAACTTAAGTAGAAAAAATTCACAAAGATATGAGGAAGAGCTGGTTTGCTATTTTCCACTATTAGGTATTAATAAGATCATCTGAATATTCAAAAATATTTGAACTTTAAAGTGTTTAATTTCCATTCTGTGAACAGGTGCTAAGATTTATCAAAAGTCATTATCTGATCATTTCAGAAACTCTCCTCAATGGAAACACAAGCTAGGAAGATGTTAAAGAGTTTTTCTTGCACAACTGCAGTAGATAAAGTGAGCAGAAAAAGGATCTCCTTCATTTACCCAACTTTCAGGAATTAAAAAAAAAAAAAAAAAAGGATACTATGAGTACTAGATGCTAAAAATCAAGGCATTTAAAGAAACTTTATGCAATAGGCAGTTAGGGTTAATTAAAAAAGGGAAATGTAGAGGAGGATATTAAATTAGTACGTATCAAAGACCAACATCCCACTACTCTGTACTCAAAGAAAGTGTCAATGTACATACAGCAATTTCAATATACACAGCAATTTAGGGTATGAAGTGTTAAAAACATCTACGAGTAACATTCCACCTAAAAGATCTCTAAGCATTACATTAGAGCTAAAAAGAAGCCAAGGCCATGGTTTGACAGCACAGAGAAGTGGCTTCACATCTCTTTGTTCTGCATCAAAATCCTGCATCCATGTGTTATGAGATGGTGATCCAATATAAACCCATTCTGCCAGTTCATGTTTGTTCATAGGTTAATTCATGTTGCATCAGGATTCATTTATTCTCCCACAGACAACCTGGAAGCTTAAAGCTGGCATAACTCCTGTGCTCTGGGTAATTGGAAGACAGGACATAATGTACCCACTCCTGATCAAGATCGAATTTGTATGGGTAGGTGATCCAGCAGCACCCAGTCCATAAAGATGGTAAATTCATCTCTAAGGATAAGCCAGGAGAGTTTATATCAGCTGAGAAACTCTCCAGTTAACTCACATTTCCTCCATGTCTGGGTGACATTTGGCCAGAGAGAGGTCCCAGATTTTGGACTGATACCTGCAGAATCTGAGTCAAACAGTTGTTCCCAGTCTCGCTGCTGACCATGGTTTTCAGACTATTTTCCAACCTCCAGAAATTTCCAAAATTAAATAACAGATCACACCTATCTCTCTAAGGCACCTTGAACTCTAGGATGCACTATACTGCCAACTGTGACTGGTAAGTAGAATTATTAAATAACATGAAATATTCATTGTCAAACATCTGTTGGTAAGTTCTATGCTATATCAAAATTTCATTGACCATACGCAAAGCTGTTTCCTTACTAAATTAGGATTTAAAAAACCACATTGTTCTGGAAGGGTCCATGTCATATCATTGTTTTTCCTATCAATGTAACTTGCAGGATGTAAATAATTGCATCTTTCCTAACAACTTATTTTGTGGCTGGTAATTTATGTGGCATGTTTCAGACAAAGGATTATTATCTAATTATTTTTCTGCTGAGTTATAAATAACTGAAAAGACCCAAACAACTATGCCTAGAGTGGTATGCAAGTGTCAATGTTTAACAAATGCAGTGTAACTACAATACACTTTATTAGAGGTGCTAGCTCATAGTAAGCGTATTAAACGAAAGTTTAAACCTCAGCTTCTGTTGCCACAAAACGTGCTACCAGAATAGGGTATTGTTATCAAGTATATATGTAAAAATAACCAGAAAAACTAGGCAAAACAACAACAAAAATCCCTTAAATGACGCCTGCAGAAGCTGCATAAATGATTGGATTAAAGGGAAAACTAGCATTATCTCCAGGGCAAGAGAATATTTGTCACAGGATATTTGAAAATTATTCTAACAGAGAAGAACAGAAATAAATGAGAGCCAAAGTATAGTCTTATCTGTAGATTACGAGGCAGAGAGAACACTTTTACCCTCCATTACATTTATCAAGCAGGCTATTTTAAATACATGATTGAGTGAAGGCTGAAATTTCTCCTTGGGTTCAGGAGACACAAAGAGGTCAATTTTTCCTTTGCTTATTACATTATCAGCTGCCATGCATACAGATTATTTTTAATTTCTTGTATGCAATAATAAAGAACATCAACAATCAAATGTTTTATAACACCTTACAATGAAAAAGAAACAGAATAGAAACTGAAATACAATGTTAAAATAAAAACAAGTCTTTGCTGGCAGATAAAAATAATCAGATTTCATGTAGAATTTCACTCCAAATTCCACCAATTAGGGATACAGGATGAAAAGGGCTTTGCACTAAATTACTGTAAGTGCAAGAGCAGAATATATGGCAATTTAGCTCTGAAAAATTCCGTAAGAGTACGACAGTTGACACGCAGGGTAAAGGAAAAATTCCACCCATAAAATTACAGTGTAAAGGAAACTGTTACAGTAAATGCATAACATGCTTTTCAAATATAGATTCACAGCACAGGGAGGATACAGAGTTGGTGTGGTTTGGGTCAGAAGCCTTGTTGCTGAATTCTGAGTAAGCTGGAGTCTGCCAATCGATTTGGCTCCAAGCCCAGCAAACCAAGGAATTACAGTAGTCAAGGCTAGATGCTGTAAGTGAATGAATTAGAGTCTCCAGGTCAGTTTTGGATAGGAACAAGAATATTTTTGGCAACAGTCCTGAAAGGCATTTGGTGCCATACTGAATAGATCTTAGCATTAAGTCCAAGGCTAAAATTGCACGTAGGCGAATGACATGTGGCATCAATAAGAGAAATGGTAGACAGATTGCAGAGTAATTAAAGAAACATATATATTTTTTAATTAATCTAGGCCAAACTCTCAGTCTTTTGGTTATGATACTGTTTACTTTCAGAAAAGAATTTGCCTTTCTACATTTAAGCTGGAAACATTCAGCCTCTCCCTGTTACCCAATTCACATGTCACAGAGGGAGAAACAGATGCAATTGCCATTGACTGGCAGAGGAGGAAAACATAAAAGTTGGAAATATTACCCTGGAGAAGTCTGCAGATAATGCAAGGGATAAGTCCTACCACTACTCATGAGCTGGATATGTAAGCAACTGTCATTACAGATTTGTACAATGAAGACATAGATTTTGATAGCTACGCAAAATGACTCATCTGCTACAAATAAATGGCATCCTAGTTTTGGTTTTGGCTTTTTGTTTTAGTCAGGGTTTTGCGTTTGGTTCTTGCTGTTTGGTTGGGTTCTTTCAATTAAA